CATAGAAAAAATATGAGTCAAAAGGATATGACATTGTCCAAACATTTTTTTCTTGTTTACACGGATAAAACTTGTACTTTGTATGAAGACAATATAACAACATTTCTTGTTCTTCTAGCAGTAGACTACGATATCACTGAAAACTCGATTTCATCGACTCAAAAAGATATCGTAAAGCTTATGAGATATAGGCTCCTACGACTAGGTAAGTAGTGAAAGTGTCTTTTAACAAATGCGAATATTAGTTTTACTCGTAGATCGCCACTTTTAGGCAAGGTTCGTCATTGAGTTTTTCAAGTTTAACATCAGCAAATATGTGCTGCACATGTTTAGTAAATTCCTCTCTCTTGAAAATCGAGTTAGTAGCAGCTTCAACATTTTCATATTATTCTTGATCATTGAATGATTTCATAATTTGTGGAAATGTTTTTGTTTTTCGATAGATTAGAATTTCAATCTGATTCTCTGGAAAAAAAACATTTCTGAATGAATCGAGTAATTCATAACAGTTGTTAAAGATGTTTGAACATTGTTTCGTATTTGGTAGAAAAAACATCTAGAATCTTCAAAAAAGGAAAACGTCAATATTAATTTTTATAAAATCATTTACTTCATGTAATGAAAACAGAGAAAAACCGGTGTTTTTAGCGGTCCGGTGACTGGGTCCTTTACAAGATAAAAACCGGTTGGTTTTTTCGGTTAACCACGAAAAGTGATGCGCCTCTTGTGACATGGAACACAATAACGATTGTGAAGTCGTTACTTTGTCACATATATAAGTTAGTCGATAATGTCGAGAATTCGTTGTTTTCTTCAGCAGTTACAATTAGGATACGATGCAATGAAAAAAAATGGTATGAATACTAAACCGAAGAGGGTTTCATGGAGTAAAAAAACGTTTCGATTTTGGAAACGAATTTTAAACCTTTTTTGAGTTTTGTAGATCTATGGTACCTCTTAGAAAGATTCCTAGACCTCTGAAAATCATTTTGAAGGTGAGCTAGTTTCATAGGAAAAACTTTTGAAAGGTTTCGATTTTTGAAACAAAATGGATCGGTACGGCACATTTTTTTTCAGTGTGGTGCATTGTATACTAGCATTAACAAACACTAAACTATGTAATATTGATCATGAGCAATAGAAATATTTGTTTTTTGATGGCGCGAGTGTTGCGTCTGGGTATGTTGCAGAATAGAAGATCCTCACTCTCGCCCACATCCGCACCCACTCACACGCACATCCACACAAAGGGTCTCGCCAAGTTTTTTAATCCAAAAGTATTTTTATTGTGCATAAATGCATAACGCATTCACTGTTTAATGTATTAATTGACAAAGAAAATAAGCAAAGTATTTTTTCAGTTAAAATGCACCTAGTTTTATGCATAAGTTATGATAATTTTTTCTTTGAGATTAAAAGTAAAATAAATGAAAGCAGCCGTCATCACAAATTTTAAAAAGCTATTGGAAATCAAGCGTGTAGCTATTCCAAAACTTGGGCCAAATAATGTATTAATTAAAACAATTGCTTGTGGTGTATGCCATACAGATTTACATGCTGCTCACGGAGGTATTAAATAAAAAATTCTTTTTTTTCGTAAATATTTATCTATAACTTCTTTCTTCCGTAGATTGGGATATCAAGCCACAACTACCACGTATTCCAGGTCATGAAGGTGTTGGTGAAATAGTTGAATTAGGCCCAATGGTCGGTAATCATTTAAAGAAGGGTGATATTGTTGGTGTGCCTTGGTTAAATAGTGCCTGTCGTCATTGTGAATATTGTTTGACCGGTCGAGAGACACTTTGTAAACAACAAACTAATTCCGGTTTTTCATGTGACGGTTCATTTGCTGAATATGTTCTTATGGATGGTGATTTTGCTGTTAAATTGCCAGATGGTATGGATCCATTTAAATCAGCACCACTCTATTGTGCTGGTGTCACAGTTTATAAAGCATTGAAAATTTCTCAGGTTCGACCGGGTGAATGGGTATCAATTGTTGGTGTTGGTGGTCTTGGTAAATAAATAATCTAAAAAACAATAAAAGACCATTATTTTAATTTTTTAATTTTTTATAGGGTCAGTTGCTGTTAAATATGCTGTCGCTATGGGTATGCGTGTAGCTACTATAGTTGCTCCTGATGATAAAGTAAAAACGTTTTGAAGACTTTGTAATGAAAAAAAATCAATGTTTTTATTTCTTTCGTTATAAATAGGTTGCTGTAACATTATCAAAAGAAATGGGAGCTGAAGAAGTTTACGATGGTCCACCAGATCAACACGGCAAATGGATCCAAGAAAAAATTGGCGGTGTTCAAGCAACAATTGTTACTGTGCCGATTATTGCTGCTTTTGAACAAGCATTTCAATCAGTTAGACGTGGTGGTCGTGTTGTTGCTGTTGGTTTACCAAATGGTAAAATGGCTTTACCAATTGTTGATTGTATTTTGGGTGGTATTGAAGTAGTTGGTTCAGTTGTTGGTACACGTAAAGATTTACAAGAGTGTTTAGAAATTGCAAAACATCATAAAATTGAATGTAAAGTACAAAAACGAAAATTAGAAGATATAAATGACATTTTTGGAGATATGCTCAATTATAGAATTAGCGGTCGAATGGTTCTTGATTTTACCGCTAAATAAATTCATCTCTGAAATTAGAGTTCACCTTATTTAGTCGTAGATTACTTTTATCAAAAAAACAAGACTATGCACCACTATATCATATAATTATTATTTCATTTTATTTTGAATACATTTATCTAGCGCTCAAACACATTGTCTCTGTTTTATTGTATCAATCGTTGTTATCGTTTATATATTTATGCATGCTTTTATTTATTTATAGTTCCTCTACAATAGATTAATCATTTGTAGTTCAAACGAATTATTTTTAGTAATGTAAAAGTTTAGGATTAAATTTTCCATACTATGGGCTATTTAATTTCAGTCTGAATTTATCAAATAAAAATAATACTTGATTTCAAACTGAAACGTGAGTCGAGGAGTGAGGGAGCGGGGTGACTGAGGGTGTGGGTGTTGGTCTGGGACCCACACACACACCCACACCCATGGTGCGGGTGTGGGCGCGCGAGTGAGGGTGAGGGTGTGCTTGTGGTTTTGTGTACTATAGGCTTTAGTCCCCTGCACAGGGGACTAAGCGGGGACTAAGCTTTTTGTGGGGGGGACTAAGGGGGACTTTGCAGGACTAGGGGGGACTAAGGGTTTTTAGTGAGACTACGTAGTATCAAGCGAGAAAAGTTTGATTCAGAAGAAATTGGTGTGGTTTTTTTGATTTTGGAATTCAGTTTGAAATAAAAAAGCCCATAGACTCAAATTTTCATATATTATGCCCCCCCCCCCCTTTTTAGAAAACCCAATTTTTCGAAAAAAAATCGAAATTGAGTTTTTTACATAGGAAGATGTGCCAAAGCTTCCTCTTTCCGAATATAGGTAGCTTTTTGCAAAACGACCCGATTTTCACGGACTTATCGATAAAAAACTGGACCCCCTACTATCATATTTTACAAAAATTTTTCGTAATTTTTCAAAATTTTTTGATTTTCGAAAAATCTGCGTTGCCACTTGGAGCAGCATTGAATAGAATACTTTTATAGTGGCCACTAAGCACATACCAACACTCAAGATAAAGATTATATATTTATATTTTATCCTCAACACTGAATATTTATAGTTCAAGCACGTTGTGCGGGAATGTATCCACAAAAACCTAAAGTTTTTTTAAGAATGCAGTTTTTTAACCTGTTCCAAAGTATTCCATTAATCTAATATTAATCAATTGTACTGCTATTCTTTTTATAGAACTTATATGTTCTTAAGATAATTATAAAAAAATGAACAACGAATTGGAAATGATTGGTAAAAACACCAATCACATACGAAACAGTTCAATAAATGTTTGCAGAGTGAAGATGATGTCTGGTTTTTGTAAAAACTTTTTGTCATCAATGTCTGATGGATATAAGCATCGGTAATTTGTTTGACTAATGGTGGCAGCTCATACATTTCTTTTTTTGTTGTCTTTCCTTTTTTTTGTCGGATGCTGAAGATGAGTTGATTAAGTTTTCTGAAAGTTTCTTGTCAACATTTTCGATCACGAAGCAAGTCGAGTGGATTTGAATTTGTTGCCAGTGTTAGTGACGATAAACATAAATTGAGTGGATTTACGTTGGTTGTAAGTGTTAATGATGAAAATGATCTTGTAATGGTTTTTGCGTCTCTTGAAAGAGAGAAGAATATTTATTAATAGCTAAAATATACTTTTATAAGAAGGTCCTCGGGTTTAATGAATATCGAGTGTTCTAGATTTTAATTGCTTTGACTTAAATTTAGAATATATTCAGAGGAAAAACTGACACAAAAGAGACACATACACTATACCATCATTATTCATTCCTTTGTTGACATTTTCTTGAATTGATTTGTTCGAATCGATGTTTTTTGAGTCATCTGATTCATCTGAACTATATGTATCATTGTTGGTTGTAGTATCAAAATAAGAATCAATGTTGCTTGTATTTGTAAGAGTGCTACTTGGATGGACAACATCGTCGGGTTTCAGAATTTCTACTAGAGCTGGAGGCATAATAACGTTTTCCTTATGAAATGCATTGCATAAGGCGTTGTAGCAGATGTCAAAGTTGTTCATTTGGTTTTCAAATTCTACAGAAAAACAGCAAATCCTTTAGAATTATATTACTGATATAATTATGTTATTTGTAGTCGGTATGTGACTAAGTTTTAAAGAAAAAATGGAGATGGTAATAGATATTTTAATTCTTTTATTAATAATAAAGAGGTTTTAACAAATGAAATATCATCATGATAAGCAACAAGTAGAAAAACAATAAAAAAAATACATGTTCAGTAGAAAAAAACATCAGTAAGCACCAGGTATATATGAATCATCTAATGCATCATCATCATTAACACCGAGACTCATACGATCACCACATTCAGACTCGAATGTTTCTTTAGTTATTTTGTTTTTTCTTCTGTTTGTTTTCGTTTGTGCTCGGAATATACACGACGTTCATCAAGTCTTCTCATTGCAAATTTTGTATAAAAACCACAACCACCGCCTAAAAGAGAGATAATGTTGTATTTTAGACCAAATCTATAAACACTTTTACCTGTTAATTCAGCTATAACTGGTAAAATTGATTGATCACCTTCATTATATGATAATACAGCAATTGCTGCATATAGATCAATAACCACACCAGTGGTATATCGATTCTCTGGTGCTAAACTCCATAAAACGGCATGGAAGCTTTCATTGTTGTTTTGAGATCCACCATTAATGACTTTCTTTAGCGCATCAGCTAAATAATAAATAATCTTAAGTTGATATTTAATGTTTCAAAGAACCTACGGTGAGCTAATTCATCAAACACCGGTCGAATTGCTTTCATAATGCCTAATGATAAACTATGCTTATTATGATCATATTCTTCACCTAATAATATAGAATAAAATCTCAAAAAGTATCTATTTTTTTTATCTTTTTCTAGAGATTTTAAATATCCACAATATTTTATCGAACATCACTCATGGTGAGGCTCTTCGTTCGACGAAGCCTATAATAAAATATTTCTTTTTTTCTAATAAAACCCTGCTTATTTCACATACTTTGTTTTTCCATATTGCCCAAACCGAACCAATCATTTCGTCTAGATTTATTTTGTTTCGCACAATAGCTTGACGGTAATATTGTTCGAAATTAATCATCATTTCTAGAAGAAAAAGAGCAATTAGTTAGAGCAGAAGGAGAATTTACTAACGTTTTGTCATTCGGCCTTTTCCACCTATACCAAGCTTTCCATCAATTTTGGTTTTCTTCAAGTCTTCTGCTATCTTTTGTAAACGATGTAACATTTTTTTCGAGAAATGATTCACGTCTTCTATTTTATTGATTGATACTTTTTTATATGGAGGTTTACTAGTTAGTTTTGGAAAAACTTTAGAATCCCCGTCTCCTACATAACTACAACGAAATATTTTACAAAAAATAAAACAATATAGTTTTATTTACTTTATATATTGAACGTTGTACATTCTCTCGGATCGTGAAAACAAATGATATATTCCTTCTGCTTCCATAGAACCTAAAAAGCATATAGTTAAAATAGAAACTACTGAACGGAATAATACCCGATGAGCCTGAATGAGTTATTTCACATTTATGTTTATTTTTAATTTCTTCATATTTTTTGGATTTGAATGTTTGATACTAAGTGCATCTGTACAAATGGAACAACTTTTAGATAATCTCTCCAAATCCAGTACCTATAAAATTTGAATGTTAATATATAAAAATATTTTCATCTAATATGTACTTTTGCACTGGAACACACTGTAAAAAAAAAGGGTTTCTACCGAACCCTCCAAAAAGGTTTCGTAGGTGTCTAAAAGCATCCAAATGCGTCGAAACGCTTAAATGAACGGTTGTTAAAATCTACGAAACCTTAAAAGGATCGGGTATCGGGCACAGCTACCGAACCATCTCCTACGAAACCTTTTTTAAGTTCCGTACAGCAAAAAAAGGTTTCGTATTTTCTTACGAAACCTTTGTAGTTTCTTACTAAACTCTATGGTTTCGCACTATCGTTTTACACGAAACCATAAGGTTTACTAGGAAGCTACAAAGGTTTCGTAAGAAAATACGAAACCTTTTTTTACTGTACGGAACTTAAAAAAGGTTTCGTAGGAGATGGTTCGGTAGCTGTGCCCGATACCCGATCCTTTTAAGGTTTCGTAGATTTTAACAACCGTTTATTTAAGCGTTTCGACGCATTTGGAAGCTTTTAGACACCTACGAAACCTTTTTGGAGGGTTCGGTAGAAACCCTTTTTTTTACAGTGTGCAGGTTGACATTATTTCAGCAACTCCATGTAAACTAGAAAAGCCGCGTTTTTGCCAGGTTCCGTCTCCGCTTACAGGAAGTTTACGTTTATTTGATTCACCACATGCTTCTTCTATAGCATTTTTCATTGAATTGAGCTTGTGTGATTCAAATACCGGAAGTATATGTATAATAGTACGAGAAAAATGATCATCATCAATAGGAGGTGGTACATTCAAAACACCACAAAGTTTTACAAGACCTTGATGACCTATCCCGGCAAAATTTGCACCTAAATAACAGATCAATTTATGTGTTACTATGCAACTAAAATTAACTTACCAATTGCACTTCGAATATTAATATCTCGTTGAGAAGCTTTGGACATTGTTTAGATGTATTTGTTTTGATTTTGTTCGAGCAGTGACATGTAAACACCAGAGAACAATATAATCCTAAAATATATATGTAATTATTAAGTTTTGCGCGAGAGAAGATAACATAAACAGTACCTTCCCGTTTTGCAACAGACATATCACCATTCCATATTGACTTACATGAGATACGAATAGTTTGTTTCATTAATTCCAATAAAAACGAATTGGGAATTATCTGATAATAATCATTTGTATCTTCATCAACATCTGTATTTTGTTGTTGTTTCAGAAAATTTGATAATTTTTGGCATGATGGACCGGCAAATGCACGTTTTTTGTACGTGAAATATTCATTATCAGTTGGTCGATCTATGTCAGAAATAAGATCATTTTGTAGTTTACGTGTCTTTTTTGCAACACTGTTAGCGATTTTTCGCGATGTGGAAATGTTTTGAACCAGGTGCAGCTTTCTTTGCTTTTTCACTTTCGAATGACCTGCCATTCCAGACAATATTAGCGTAGAATAATTAAAAAATCTAGAAAATAAGAAGTGATAATGCTTTGTTGCTGAGAAAACATGAGTCACGCTAATTATACTTCGGTTGTAGCGTCTTACTCATTTTTACCCAAAAACTTTCAGATTTTTTTATTCATTCAAAAAATGATATGAATTATCGTGTTCAGAATATAATGTGGTATAAAAATGCGTGAGTCATTCGAAAAAGAAGAGAGCAAAACTATTTCACCATGACAGATGGCATCAGCTTACTGCATCTGTTACGCGCATTAAAGAAATCCTACAAAAGATATTAGAAAAATGCCATTTTAATATGATTTTTTTGAATTTAAGTAAAAAAATCCACTTTTAAAACTTCTTTAGCGTTTTTCTCAGAACACAGTTTCCAATCAGAAAAATTGGAACTCCTCCCTCATTTTTCGAGCTATTACCAATATTCTTTTTTTGTCTTAAAGGTCTCGATCAGAGCAAACTTTTGTCCGAATGGATTTTTGAAAGTTGGTTCCTGGGCTGAGAAAAGTGGAATTTACTGTCGTTGGACTAGCATTTTTTATGCTAATTTTAAGACCCTCGCACTAAAATGCTCATAAAAAATGAACAATAAGGAATATAAAGATTCTGTTCGGACAAAAGTTGCGTACTGACATCAGGTTTAATTTGAAACTAGCCCGAGCTCTTTATCTCATCTGATGACGAAGTTTTGTCGATTCTCCTGAAGGCCAAAAATGATCTATGAATCAGCTGGAACTCCGGTCTAGCACGACCAGACGAGCTAAAATTTTTACCGGAAGCGTATCTCTCCAGGATCACTCATTCCTGAAAATTTCAGCGCACAAGGATCATTATAAGTGGAAAATAATTTCTGAGGGGGGGGGGGGGGGGTTCGAATTTGTTTTTTTTCCAGAAAAATATTCGTAATAATTTTTTCTCATAGACACCGTCTAGTTGATCAACCTTGTAAGCCATTTTTGGACATCGTTCGAATTTTTTTAATTTTTTTATGACCGTTTTGTAGAGGAAAAAAGTTGTACAACGTGTAGAAGATTCAGCATGGGATCTCTTAAAATGACTAAATGGGAGCTGATACAGTGCAATATATTGCACAAAAACCGACTCATTTTTCCACTCGAAAATAATGAGTCAGATAGTACTTCATAGATAACTCTCGATTAGTCCATGTAAACCTAACATATAAAAAGATGATTTTGTTCAGCGTTCGAAGCTCTATCTTTTGGTATATTACACGAAAAATTTCATGAAATTATTGTCATCTAAAAGAATCTTAACTTTCTATGCAGGATTTTTTATGGTTTCTTCAACCAAGCAAGGGGAAAAGTGCAGGTACCCAGCACCTGAGCACCTGTTCGCCACCGACCAGCACCTACAGCACCTATCAGCACCTACAGCACCTGCTCGGCACCTATACCACATTTCACTATGAGCACCTACGGTACCTACAACCACTGTTCCATTATCTTAAGTACTTTTTCAGCACCTTGTAATAAAATTTAAAGGGCAGAGCCTAAACACTAAATTTTATCACAAGCTGCTGAAAAAGTACTTAAGATAATGGAACA